AGGATGTATAACCTTCACTAGCTTATAAAAGTACCAAGATGTGTGACCTTCATGGGCAAGTTACCAGGATGTACATCCATCACTGGCTTATAAAAGTACCAGGATGTGTGACCTTCATGGGTGAAAAGTTACCAGAATGAACAACACATCACAGGTCATGATTCTAAAACTTTCATAATTCCGTATCTTGGCTTGAAATATAAATCACTTACTCAATTAAACAGTATGATGAAAAATCACTATTTTCAACGACGCATACACACACACACTTCAAAACACTGATCATATACTTACAAGTTAATTTTGGAAGAATGACTTTTTCTACAAGACTTGGCATGAGCTTGTTATCAAGGTCTTCTTTATCAATACCATCATACTCTCTGAATCCATAAAAAATCAGTGATTCAAACCATCTCATCTCTTCAATATCAACACAATGTGGCTTTAGAAAAAAAAGTAACACAAAATCAGTTCTGTGGTCACCTGTATATAAACATTTGCAACAGAAAATACTACAAACTGGCATAATCATGTAGTGCCTACTGACCTCAAGGGGGTTCCAATTCAACAACTGCAACCTTATAAAAGGAGAAAACAACTTGGGTAGACACAGAGATATGTAAGCTTCTTTATAGCTATCCGAGTACTGGTGCTTCCATTTTTCAAAATGAGGCTTGATACCCTCAAACGTAGAAAACTCTTCAACCACATCTTCAAACAGGCTATAAGACGACGCTAACAGGCTTTCTGAAAATAAAATCACAATGCCACAACTCATCACATAACATTCCGAGTCCCTATGTGCACAACTTTGTCATTTTTATTGAGCAATCTCATCAGAACATTTGTCATACCGTACTTATCCGGGTAAGAGCCCATGCCTGGACAAACGCCCACCCCCCACTTTTGACACAATAAAGAAGTTGAGGTCATATCCGGGCACACGCCCAGGGGGTCTTTTTCTACACAAAACAAAAAAAACTATTTTCTATTCGTTAACTGTTGACTTTCTTGAAGTCTGTCATGATACTTATAAAAATTTCACCGTGATTAATAAGTGTCGACTCGAGTCTGATAAGAAAGCAATGTCATGATTTGACCTTCATGATGAAATACTAGTAGTGATGTCATTCTTAGCCAATCGGTAAAGCAGATGCATAAAGGTCAAAGATGATTGCTAGACTGTAAACAAAAACATCGTGCGAGTCGTTTGCCGCGGCCCAATTTTTCTTGTTCTCTTTATTCTGATTAGACGTGAATTAAAAGAGCCAAACTGACAGACTGCGAAATCCGTGGATTAAAAGTGTTAAGTCCAAATTGTGTGAGACAATATCGACGAACTTCAGGAATAAGTTGTAGGGATTTTGTTAAACGGCTACAGTGACGCCGACTTGGACATTTGAGGGTTTTGAGTTTGACGAAGATGGCAATGAACGTACAAATAAAGATCTGAGAAGTTTTTTCAAACAGCTATGAATTTTTACTGTGTAAATTTGTAAATTATTATTGATCTTGTATGCCGGTTGATTCGTAATTTGTCGAGACCGGAAATCATTTTACGCAGTTTAACCCCTGACATTTTAATTCATTTTGAGTTCACGCGTATTCAAGTTGGGCGTGTTTGTTGGCGGGAAAATCCTAATTCAAACCATTCTTCACTGTCGTTTTTTTTATTATTTCTGGTTTATTTGCCACATTATAAGCAATAAATTATTTTTTGTTATACTTCTAATGCTGCATATTGTTCATTTATTTCCGTTGCATGTTTTCATTTGCCCGCAGTGATAGAGATACTGTGATTTGCCGTTCTATTCCCTGCCGCAGTTCGATCTGCGTGTTGTCAATTTTCGCGAATTTTCATGTTTTTTTGCCGGGGATCTCCTGGCAAACGCCCACCCCTTCTTTTTGGCAATTTTCCATGTTCAAGACCCTGGGCTTATACCCGGATAAATACCGTATGACTAATTTAAACCATAGAAACATCTCTATAATTTGCATAAGCACAAGCACTACTAATAGAATAAATACAGTACATATTTTGGAAAATATAGGACAAGAATTAGTAGACTGTGTACCTTAGGATAGGGTTAATTCTGAGCCAGCCACAAAGTATGGCAAAACATCTCTACAGAATAGAATAAGTATCACTATTGATAAGTACATAAATGAACAACCATGAGATCCATGTCTATAGGAAACTGAGGACAGGAACTACGGTAGTAAACATTTCACTGGGGACCTTAAGTCAGGCAGTCACAATGAACATTTCAATAAAGACCTTAGGGCATGAAGTCACTGTGAACATTTCACTGATGCATTTTAAGACAGGAAGTCACAGTGAACATTTTACTAAAGACCTCAAGACATGAAGCCACTGTGAACATTTCACTGATGCATTTTAGACAAGAAGTCACAGGGAACATTTATACATTTGTATCATAAAACCATAAAAACTGAAAGCAGTGAAAATATAACTGTCAAATTATCATTTCATGCCAAACACTAAAATTATTTAACAACAAATGGCCTGGCAGCTGCAGTAAAATATCACTCCCAATAAAAATAAATATTTGCAAGAACTACTTCCAAAAAACAATAAATACATAACAGTAGAGACCACATATATTCAGATAATCATTGATTGTATATACAATGTATGATAAATATACAATCAATATCAGAGTTGGTTTACATGTACACATGTAACTTTACTGTATAATATGAAGACAGTACAGCTGCGTGTCGGGTCGATGCGACAGCGTACTGTCTGAGTGCATACTTTGAGGTATCCTCGTAATAACCATATTATTATTCATCTTTTCCTTGCAAGGATACATTATGAAAATGCCAAAATCCAAAAAGTTTAGAATAGAATCAGGAAATTTCTTTGTGTGGAGTACGGCCAAATCCTGGTGGTAGCCATAATTGTTTTGTTTTTATTAGAGGACGCTTACACACATAATCATTACATATTTGCAATTTGCATTTCCTTATAAGGTAGAATGAAAATACCCCTCAAAATTACGACAAGCTGTAACTTATGGCGTTACGGTGACAGATATATAATAATATAGTATATTCAATTAAACTTACATTATATGTGATTGTTACATTGCGTAAACCACTTACTTGTATAAATGTACTGTATTTGCTTTATTACTATAGCATGTAAAAGACAAAAGGTGTAATTATGGACAAAACAATTAGATCACATTTTTAATGATCTTGAAGTGATACCGCTAGCCTTAAAACAAATTTACCAGCTGCCTACATTCTCTCTTTTATTTCTCCAGTTATCTATTATTTTTGCTTTTTTTTAGCTCAAACTTTATTATTTTTATCTAGACTCTGACTCAGGATATGATTTAATAATTTAAAAGTATTTTATTATCCATTATTTATTAATATAAATGCAACTGCTGGTTTACATGCACTTTAATTGGAGATACTCTTTTAATAGAGAAAATACGGTAAGTATTATTAAGAATAGTATAATGCAAGTGATATGTTATTATTGGAGGATTATACTAGATGTTTCCAAATATGTCATGCATATGTGACCTCAATATATCAGATTTGTTGTGACCTTGTACTAAACAGATCAATACCAGGCCTCTCACATAGGAAATCTTGTAATCATAATTGTCAATTAAACTGTTTACATCAAAACTCCAATATGTATTAAACAGCAATAAATATATACATAGTAACATTTAAAGTAATTTACAAATAAGTAAATTCATATGTATAATGCAGTAAGCAAAAAAAAAGATGTGTTATGAATTCATTCTGATTAGTTTTAAATCCACAAATCAACATACCTTATTATTTTAAAATACATTATATCATGTTTTTAATCTTTTATTATCAATATTTCCATACTTATCCGTTGAATATGTATTTAACTGTCAACATAAGCCCCTACTCTACACTTCTTACAAATATAAGAATACATTTGACACAAATACATACATGTACTATTTCAAAGTGGATCTAGTTGACATACATTTTATTTACATACATTTATTAGTAAATATTTAAAATTAATTTAACTTTTCAAATACAAGAAGAATAAATAAATAAATAGTTCTCAAAATAAAATAAAAAATTCTAGGTAAAAATAGTTTATAATTATTGTAATTATAAATAAGTAAATATTACATTGTAAGTGTTTATTTTGCTGTCGCCATAGTAGTGTGATACCTAAAGTATGGACAATATTAGAGGAATTCCAGATTTAGAGAGAAACATCATCATCAACTTTGGAAACTGAGAGCTTATAGATGATAAAGAAAACAAAGAGATATTTGCTTGTAAACATCAGCCATGTGAAGAATTGCTTGTTTGGCACTTCCAGTTAAGCCTAATATCACAACAAATTTACTTTCTGGATTAAAATTACAATGGATAACAAAAGATAGATTAACTTTGTAAACAAGATAAACAATTATAGTGTTCTATGATTCTTTGGTGCAATCCTGGGCTTGAAAGATTCCCCTTTAAGTACAACTCGAAAGGTTCAGAAGTGTATTTATATTTAATTCAGTGTTAATTACTTCCGCTTTATTTGTACATGTACTATAATAGACATAGTGAACAGATGTCAATGATGGGGACATTATCTATAATAACTACATATAAAAGCCATAATTATGCTTGTTTGAATTAATACCAGGTAGTATAGAAATAATCAGCTTTTGGGAAATTTAAGATCTGCAACAATATTTTCTTGCAATAATTTAATGCAAAATTTGCTTATAATATTGCCAAACTTGATTTTAGCAATTTTAGAGTATAAAAACTTGTTTACAAATGACATGAGAAGAAAACCACATCCAAATGTACAAATGTTGGTATATGATTACAAAAAAATGATGTAATGAAAAAAAAATGATGAAAAATAGAGTAAAAATAAAATATACAAAATGAAAAGAAAAAAAACACATAATGCATGATACTCAGTTTGCAAAGGAATATGACATAATAAAAATAATAAAAAAGGTAGGTAAGCAGCTGAACCCAAATACAATGAATTGCTGAAAGCCTTAACTAAAAAAATGAGTGGAGTTTGCTGTAAATATCCCAAGATGTTATGTTTGGTCAAAATAAAACTACTATTAATGGGATATACATGTTCAGTGGTTTCCTATTTCAGATCAATACAGTAAAGCAGTATGATCCCCTAGCAAGTTAGCGGCAGGTGATTTCAAGGATTTGTAAGATGAGTGTATGTAAGTGATGTGATATGCAATCAAGATCTCAAGCGAATTGAAGAAGTATCACGTGAATTTGCAAAATTATAAAATTGCACACAACAAATAACATTTCTAGAAATAATGCTAACGCAAATAAAATATTCGCCTTATTAGTAGTTTAAATTTTTTTTCTATGGTCAAAATATTTTAATGATTGAGTACAATATATACATCCAATGCAATTTTTAGTTTATATATGCTCTATCCAATGCAATTTTTAGTTTATATATGCTCTATTACAAGATCCATAGCACATAGAGCCGAATGATTTCCAAGACTTTTCAAGACCTTTTCCCAAACTTTCTTGCACTCCCCCCCCCCCCAAGACATTTTGACCCTAATTCGGGCCAAAATCATCACCAAAACTCATCAAAGTTCTGAGGATATGGTAGTTCCCTGGAGAAAACAGGCCTTTCTAAAATGAATTAACTAAGAAAAAATTTAAAGACTTGTCAATGATTTTTTTTTATTTTTCCTGCAATTTAAAGACAACTCAAATACTTTCCAGACCTCAAAAAATCCAAAGACTTTCAAAAGATTTTCCCAACGCTATGGACCCTGTACTGATAGAGCAAATACTGTAGGCGAGTGTGTGAAATAATTGCTTAGTGTTCATCTTAGAATGTTTTGCTAGTGTTCTTACTCAATCACATATGTTTTGAGTTATTAACTATGATGATAAATTTATTCATTTCAGTTTACGCAATAAAACCAAATAAATGTGTTCAATTGACATACACACAGAATGGTATCACATAACATTCTACACAGATATCAAAGTTCTATACCCTTACCTCATAAATTAGTGGTGATATTATTCACTTAAACAGTGGAGATTAGATTTACATATGCAGTAATCATAATTTATATCGCAACATATCTCTATCGTTTGAATATTAGACTTCTTTAGGCATATATGGTTAATGGTCTAGAATTAAGATTGTCTAGTCATGAGGAGAAAGTTTAACCCCCTCTATATTGGAATAAAAATTACAATACAAATTAATTTTCAGTAAATTATGATTTGTATAGATCTATATATGAAGTACGGGTAATCATAATTTATATCGCAACATATCTCTATCATTTGAATATTAGACTTCTTCAGGCATATATGATTTAGGAGTCAAGAATTCAGTTTGTCCAGTCATGAGGAGAAAGTTTAACTCTTTTATATTGGAACTCAAGTTATAATACAAATTAATATTCAATAAATTACTATATGTATCAGGCAAGAAGCAAACAATCAGTATACTGCAGTGACCACACAATTTAATCAACAAAACCAACAAGTACCCGAGAATGAAACCATAATTGCATTACACACATTAATTGCCTCATAATTTCAACCAATTAGGGGCACTGTAAACGCATACAAATATACATTTATGGTAGAACATAAAGTAAAAGATTCATTTACCTGAGAAGAGATGTGATGTGCTAAATTATGCAGTTAGTGATTTTTATGAAAGGTATTGATAAGGAAGGTGTAGTATTTGTGTTAGGATTAGGATTTTGTGTGTACATCCTGTGTATTTAGATCCTAAAATCACCATGCTTTTTTTTTCTATTTTGACTTATTGTATTGATTCTGTTAGGGATTTGTTTACTATGTCAAAAAGTATTTTCTAAATTCATTTTAGTAAGGATGTGAGTATACAACGATGTCCACAGACTGCAATTCAACAAAAAACAGGTAAAATAAACACATTGCCAAAGTTTGTTGGCACAAATTCGTTCTAGTATGTATCACTAGGTATAAACTCTTCAGGGACTTGTATATTCCAGAAAGGTCTGTTTAAAAGAATAGATTATAGCAGGTTTTTCATTTTTTAAGTAGATATCTGTAAATAAGTGGAAATGTCACTATAATAACAGTTGAATTGGAGTGTCTGAATTTCCTGCTCTAAATGGATAATCAATCCATATTTACAGCACAGTATTCATCATTAAAGTATTGAACGAGACACAATTTAAATAAAATTACAAATCTAGATTACTAATTAACTCAAACTACTCTAATATTTATTGATTTAACAAATAAATGAAATAATTATGATGATTAAGTGTGAAGACAAAAATTCAAAGATATGAGACACCTCTCAGACTTCATTAGACCATGTTATTAAATATATATGTAAAATTATTAGCCGTGATATTGGATCCCTTCTATGTATGACTGATACGTAATGCCAAAGTGCAATATTATTGAGCAATTTCCAGTCTATAAATAAATAAGTGTCCAGTGCATGTATCTATTTTTTTCATTTTTTTTTTCCCGTTTTTGATCCTAATTTATTTTTACAAATACATTGTTCATCGATAAGGCATTGCTTACAAAAACAAATCAACAGTTTTTATTTTCAAATGATGAGAGACTTAATTTATTAATTAATTAATTAATATGCATGGTTGATTGACTTCATTATATTATATAAATACAAATGTAGCACATGATCAATAAGGTCTAAGTAAGTTACAAGTAATTGTACATACAAAATTTCGAAAATCAAACCTTACAGGAATATTGTCTCTGTGGTGAAAGGCACAATATTTCAGCACTTGCACTTGCAAATTTCACATAAAAAAAATAAAGTCAGGAAAGACAACAGTGACATTCAATGTCGAATATAAAATATTAAAAAAAAAAATTATAAAATAATAACCTGTCTCTTAACCTATAGCGACTTCTAATTATTTTAATTAATTATTTTAGTCTAGATATTAATAATAATTCCTAGATGCTTGTTCACTGAAACGACATAATATCATAATCCTGTGTCAGCAGCGGTCCTTTGCAATTTATGAATGTTATTAAATTAGAAATATCAGCAAATACATATTTTGAAGAGACCAATCAAAAGTGACCTTTCAGTTGACAACGACAGTATCACATGACTACAATCTCCTTGTACAATACTACTTATTTATCACCTGAAAAAAAAAAGCTTCCTCCACTTAACATTTTACTAGATGCATTGCCATGGAAACAATATACATGTAATGTGTAAATCTGCAAAGGTTAAATTGGTTAGATGTGGAATTCATTGAATTAATAATATGAGTCCATAGTGTACAACGACAGAAAAAAACGTTAAAATGAAGATAATTAATTGTGACTTCACAGCTCATCCAATAAAAACAATTCACAAATAATTTTTGGCATTACTCCCTTAGTTGACATAATTGTTTCCATCAAAATTAGTGATACAACATTTTGCATATTATTTGAAATTCTCTATATTTTTTTTGGATTAGTTAAAAGTTAAACACACAAGTGCTCTATATAATGAGCATTTTAGGTAATTCCCTCAGATGCTTGTAGATTAGCTACTAATTAATGAGAATCACATAGTTTCTTCTGTTATTTCACCAATTCTTATTATTTATCAGGGACTGAAGCATGGTGATCTATACACACCGTAGCATTCATGAACATATGGAAAATGTAACTATGTTGAAATTGTGGTGTAAAATGAGTTCTATCAGGACATGGAGGTAAAAAGAGAATCAGGAGAAGAAAAAAGACAGAATTGGTCATAGAACTGAATAATTAACACTTTTTGGATGTCACACAGGATTATTGAAATTTCAGTCTTCTTTTTTTTCAAATGTAAATTATCATTGTTTATAAATCGCCTAAATAAACAATTGTAGCATGTTTTTTTTATTTGAGACATACAGAAGCCACTCTTGCAGCAACAATGATAGACAATAACAGTAGTGGCCTATGGCCCCAATGTTATGCCTTTAATCAAAAGTAAATCCACATAAATATCTTTTAGTATATGCAATATGGTTTTAATATATTTAAAAAAAAAATAGAATAAATTAGAAATGAAAAACAGATTTGGACTATCCATAAAGGCTTCAAGCTAAACAACCAGTTTGTACATTTTTAACACAAATTGAATGAATGAGCAGAAAAAAATAAGAAATGTAATTTTATTTAATCTATTTAAAACAAAAATCATAAAAAAAGTTGACTAGAAACATTTTTTGCCCAATGATTCAGTGAATACAGGAATACACAGGCCAGGTGGCATATAACAGAATTACATGCACAAAAAAATTAAAAAAAGATCAATAATGACTTTTTCTTGAAGGTTTCTTGTAGTGCAAACAACTGCACATCGACTGCTAACATCTTCCTGGGAATCCTAGCAGAGATCCCCTTGCATCATCAGGTTACCATAGAAACCACTAGTAATATGATCATTGACGACAACGGAAGGTAAAAATATCCTGACCTTTTTTTTTATTTTCATCAATATTTGGCATGATTGAACTAAAGGCCAACACACAATATATATATTTTCACCTCACAGAAGTCATGACATTTATAATCTTTTTATTTGATGAATATTTTTAATTTCACATTTCCCGTCTATATGTTCTGAATAAAAAAAAATAGAGCACTTAGAAAAAAAATCAATCTAATAATGGAGCACCTTTATCTAATTATAAAACTGAATTAATCAGACGGTTTAGGATTGCAAACGTTCTTGGTTTTATACAAATTTACTTTTCACTTGAGACTTGTGTCCACAGTATTGAGTACTAGCAGTTAAGTTTTAACATTTCAAGTTCGATTATGAACCTTAGGAAACAAGGTCTATGGTTCGGTATTTATCCTTGCCCCAGCCCCACTGTTCTCAGACTGTCTACGTCTATGACAGGGGCTATACAACTGTTACTAGTAATTGATTTATTAATGAACAGTACCATTAATCAACAAATAATTCCATTGCGATGGTGGCTTATTATAAATAACATTAGCTTTAAATAGAGCAATCGAGCTGAATGAGACAAATGATTTGTCGAGGGTAAGCCCTGTTTGAAGTTCAATTCATTGTCGTGACGTACACATGTACACAAAAACACAGCCATTGTGATTTGTATGCACAGCGTTGATATGACGCGATAAGTACGCTTTCCGGGCTTGACCATGTGGGAACAAGGCAGTGGACAACTGTCAAATAATTGCTATTTCATATACGATGACAAGCAAAACTTGACCTGCCCCATAATCGGGGGAATAAAACTTGCTCAGAGTTTCAAAACTCTGGACAAACTTGGACGGTTATTTTCGATCACCCACTCACCTTTCATCCATTCTGCAACTTCCTGAGTCGTCCAGCTTCGAATATTTATAAACGCCATTTCCAATTCTTCGGTGACGGGCAATAAAAATCAAAGAAAATAAGTAACATGTTGAAGACGTAGTTTCTTGCCCTCTAAGTATGTACTGTGGAAGGTCTCATCATTCCAACTAAACAGGAAAGAGAAATACTATGGACGAAGTCATTATTGTATGGGGAGATACGCTTGCCTTATTAATTGGAGAAATGTAACTACAAACAGACATATGATCCGGAAGAGATTGAATGATCTGAAAAACACCCCAAACAAAATCGTGTTCTCAGTTTGTATATGTTTTTTTTTTCGAGCTCAAGATAATTGATCATGTCAAGGCAGAGTAACAGAACAACAGACTCGCGGAAAGTGGTAAGTTTCTTTAAATTCCATCTGACATGAAACGATTTATTATCCCTCTAGGCCAATAATTTGAAAATATTGTCAGGACTACTCTATATAGGTCTATCATTGGCACAATTTTGTTAAAACACTTACAGAGTTAAATATTACTGGAGTCGAATAATTTCATTGATGTTCTGAAAGGGAAACTCAAAAGTGTCTACCACAAAATATGGCAAATTGAGCAAAACATTAAAAAGGAAATTGGATTTTGAGCACTATTTAGATGGTATTATAAAAATTAAAGTGGAGGGGCATCACCTGCGCATATTCGGGAATTGAGTCCCAAGCGACCGTAACATAACAACGCACTCTAAAAATGCAAAGGCTCATGGATGGATGCATGTTTGTCAACAACAACACAAATTGGCTGTGTGCGACACACCCGCTTTAACTAACTGAATCACATTTTCTAACTATTGAATTGGGTCAGTATAGGGTAGAGAGAGTAGATTACTGTAAAATACTTTATTTTCGTTGGATTTAGTTTTGGTTAATTCGCTGAAAGAATGATTCAGTGAAAATAAAATCGAGCGAGTATACCTTTTTTCATATAATTTACATTCAACTTGTCAAAAATCGAAAAAGTTAATTAGTACAAGTGCGGTAATTAGTGAAAGTGATGCCCAGGGCAAAACTCATACCGGTACTTGTGATTTCATCAGAAAAGCCCATTGTATTATGGGAAAATCAATGTTTATCAACACAAATGTCGCACAAACAAGGCGTGACGATTATTGCCATTTATAGAGCGCGTGTTTCTTGCAAATTGATTTATATATTTACCCACCGAGTACAAACATATTTCCATTAGGGATCATGTTAGGAATATTTTCCCTAATAATATTGAATAAATTTATAACCCTTTGACCTTTATTCTCCAAATTGAAGATTTGTTTCAGTTTGTTAACTGTTATTGTATTTTCGTGTCTTGTTGGACTTTACCAACTGTGTATTTTGTATGTTTCAAATAAAACATCCCATTCTATGAAAATCTGCTAGACATTTGACCTCCTAGATGTTAATGATCATCTGTTCTCCTCTAACCATAGCAACACAGCTAATTGGAGAATATATATGTATAAGATACTTTCATTTCTCCAGTATAAGTAAAATAAACAGTAAGGCAATTAAAAGTCTTGCATCATCCAAATCGCACACAAGGTAAAACAAACCCCTACCATCTGCTTGGTAGCAAACATAATTCGCCTCACTGATTGTGCAGCATTCACCGTTTAATCAGCAATCAGTACTGGGGTACTAAAGTGAGTGATTCATGGTAGTGAAGTTCAACCCTATGTTCAAATACTTGACATCTCCTCGTGTTTTAACCTCATAACATTTGTAACCAAAGTAAGTCAAGAAGTCTAAGCATATATTCGATAAAAATCAAACAATATCTACTAGAAAAATTATAAATATATAATCATGATTTTCTCACTCTTTTTTTTTTGTTAGAGTCAAGAGTTGTTCACATTGACATATGGAGCATTGGTGTCACAATTAATAAAAGATTATGAAGGTGATGATGACGTGAATAAACAACTTGATAAAATGTAAGTATCAATTTTCATTTTTCCATATTTAGCCTCAGTAATTCACAATATACATGTAGTGTGAAAATCTGAAGTATTATTCCAAAACACATCATGGTCCACAACTGTGAAATCCCTTAAATATACAAAAATATGAACATGTACCTTCTATATGCTGAGACATTTATGGTTGATAGCATGTCATCGACAGCCATTAATTTAGTAGTCATGACAAAGTAGTGGTTTGTTTTATAACAGATAATGAGATAGAGGATCACAAAATTGACACACTGATAAATTGTGATTATGATATTCACGCAATTTCTAACCAGAGTTGACATAGTTTAATTTACACAAAGCTCTACAATCATTTTCAAGCCAATGTCATTAACTTTCTCTCAAAGTTTTTCTTTTAATTGACCAATGAGTATTCTAGGATTGTCATTGTAGGACGGTATGTGTTAAAAATTTATTCGGGTCACCACTGTACTTGCTAGAGTTCGATGATTTGAAAATTGTACAGATTTGATCAATGCTGGTTGTAATAACTTAATTTATTTAATACATGGAACTGATCATGTGATTAAGGCATGTTACCATGTGTCTTTATTGCAGGGGTTATAATATAGGTGTACGAATGGTGGAAGATTTTTTAGCGAGGTCTTCTGTAGGCAGGTGTCATGATTTCAGGGAAACAGCAGATGTTATAGCAAAGGTAATTTTGGGATCGGGCTTAGCCTTTAATTGATCAGCTCATAACAAGTTTACAGGCTTCTTTATTCAATATCATGTTATGTTCTCGAACTGAATGCTATGGAGAACTGTTTAAATCTATAAATCAGTAGAAACATGTTCAAAGTTTGAATATCTTCCCTATTTGGAAAATGTGTGTCATATTCATATCACATTCCAACATTTTAACTTAGTACTTTATTTACTTTGGACACAGCAAGAATGTTTGCATGTGCCTGATATAGAACTATGTCACTGAACAGACGATTTGCAGACACAAATATTTTTTGTTATTCCTCATCATGACTACAAGCAGGAAAAAAATGTTAAATAATGATTATTACAAAAAAAGTGTAAAGTATGCACTTAGGCAGTTCAGGATCACATTGACCTCTGCTATGCGATGCTTAATATGGTCACCATACAACCTCACCTTAATGGTTTTCATGTAATGACCACATATTATACACTCATTATTACCTTATCATATCAAATAGCTTGTTCCTGTGATTTTGTATAGTAGTGATACTGCAGACACTGATACTTTTTGTTTGTTTCATTTCATTTCTCGTTATGAGTACAAACAGGAAAAAATGCATAATAATAAGGATTTTACAAAAATAGTGTAAAGTATGTACCAGTTCTATGCATTTTCAGGATTCCATCGACCTCAATATGATCGCCATACAACCTTTGCCTATACTTAGTGGTTTTCTTGCGATAATGCTTTAGGACAATAGACAGGCCCGATTAATTTTGGGTTGAAATTTGTTCATATTGTTTCTCTAATTATATCTCATAGTTTTTTTGTTCTAATCACATTTCAATGAAACTTGGTACATAGATATTACATTACGCAGGCCTTATTAGTCTTACACTCAAATCTGTTCATATCAGTTACCTGATTTACATAAATAGTTTTCAGCTATTCCATCAATATCTCAAGTACAAGTAATTTTGAATTAATTTTTAATGTGTCTTCAATACTCTCAGCACACAGGAGTTATTTCTAAGCTTTCTTTAATTTTTTATTATTATTATTTCATCTATTTTTTTTTTCCAATATTATTACCTACATATATCAATAGTTTTTTTTTAATTGTAGTTTGTTTGTTGTTTTGTTTTTTTAAACCATTGTCGTGCTTTAGATAGTAATTTTCGTAAAAATTTGTATGTTTTATATACATGTTTTAGCAGTTAGTGTAACCATTTTAATTCCTTCTGAGGAATTTTAAGTGTCTCCATAAACTATAGAACTATAGTAGTGATACTAGCATATTTAATTGAATAATTTCTATACTTTCACAGCAAGCATTCAAAATGTATCTTGGAATCACTCCATCAATCACAAACTGGAGCCCAGCTGGCGATGAATTCTCACTTATTGTCGAAAATAACCCATTAACAGATTTTGTAGAATTACCAGAAAAACATGGAAACTTATGCTACTCTAACGTCCTATGTGGTGTTCTTAGAGGTGCACTAGAAATGGTAAGTTTTATTGGATCACCAATCAAGTCATTTCATTTGCTGGGATTAGATTAGGGCTTCAAAAAAAAATGTTTCAATATGTCTTATGATGTTCAATAAAACAGAACACTGAGAACCCTTTTTTGTTTAGCCCTTATTTTTACATATTTTCTCAGAAACGAGAAAAAATAGTTGTGAACAGCCTTTTTTAAAGTAAAACACACACTAACCAGAAACAAATATTTTTGTTTACTTAATACATTATAAATAGTTTAATTTATTATAATTTAGTTTACTTGTATAGTAATAGGATTGTTTTTGATTATTTTTGATTACCATAATTTATAAATTTTATGACCAAAGGCCTCAGATACGAATGAGATTGAAAGTGAAAAAGCCACGAGTCCTTCATCAAGTAGTTTTCTATTCTCTATCATCACTGTATTCACCGTTTCAAATTCCATGGTTACATAGACCAGGAAAACATTGGATGCGATTGAAGAGAGAGGATGGAAAATTATTTGAGTGGCAAGACTTGTCTCCCTTACTCTCAATGAGATGACGTCAGCAATTTGCTTCTAAGGTTAAGTTTTAGTCAAAACGAGTTTCTGTTCAGATTTTTTAATACATCGCCTGCGGATGCTTTTTTTCCATTGATTTTTATATGTCATGAATTAAGTAGGAATTTGATTGTTTCAATTTAGGTTCAGATGGAAGTGAAAGTGTGGTTTGCACAGGATACATTGCGAGGCGATAACATTACAGAAATTAGATTGAAATTCATCAAGCGGTTAGAAGATGCATTACCAGCTGGGGAAGAATGAAAACGACGCTATTCTTTTGGGTTTTTGAGGTCACCTACACGATGTCAAGTGTTTCTCGTCACTGTATACTTCAGTCTTTCTGACCATTCATCTTTGAGTGAGGGAGAATGTCAGTCATCAGTTTATTGTAAATGATACAGACACTTTTAGTATAATCTTCTAAACTTCATGTCCACTATAACTAGAAATGTCACACATTATAGATTTAAATGTGATATAATAGACAGACTCCCTTCTCTTTCTTTACTTCTCTTCACTGGAACATTTTAATGAAATTTGTGAAAAATCTGATCACAAAACAGACCTGCAACTAGTTCTATCTTTGTACCAAGATAGACCCATTCCAGACAGTTCTAGTTTATGTGATTATTAGGAACATAATAATGAAATGTGTTATTTTGTTTTTACTTGCAATTTTAACAACAAAAATGACTTTTGGTGAATGCACATCTAAGTGACGGAAGATAGCAGTTTTATTCAAGTTCAGAAACATTCTTCAAGCTATATTTTGAATGTTTCTGTCATATCTGTGAACATAGCAACTATAGTTTGAGAAAGTTGCTTAAATACTGGTGCACATTGCAGGCAGGTTTAGTACAACAATCAAATGATATCATCCTTGTGTTAATCACAGTTGAAGACTTGTGTAAGATTTTACGGTGGCCTAGCATGTTGAATTTCAAGTGACTGCATAAATGATGTAGAGAACTATGGGTAATGGATGAAGATGCATGATGATATAACAATACTGCATAAAGACCAGAATATGACAATATGAAACTGCATAATCTCTCATGACACTGGATCTGTATTGAGGGTAGATAGTTGTCTGTGCAAGTAACAAGATGTACAATTGAACGGAAGAATGGAATGGATGTGCTGCCCTCTGTAGCTGGAAATAACAAAAATGCATCAAGTAAACTGCCCTCTGTAGTTGGAAATACAAACCCCCTTTTATAAAATAAATATTTTGCAAGTTGTCTGCAAACTAATTTCTGAGTGTAAAGATTGATGAGTGACTGTGAAAGAAAACCATGTCTTTTCCCTGATGTTTGTGGGAGTTATGAAAGTTGTATACTCTTGTGTATCCTGTGGCTGTATTTTTATGAGCGAAGCATGGATACACCGCATTACGAGTGAAAATGTATAACTCAAAAACGTCAGAATGAGGCCATTGCGTTATACATGTTCCTTGACTCGATGAAACTTCCCAAGAAAGTCTTTATCCAAAATGTTCATAATAAATATGAGCATGCACAAGGGCCATGGCAGAGTATGGCTGATTTTTGTGCAAAACGATTTTTTAGTTTCTCTCACATCCTGTTGTGATTTATACATCATAGTATAAATCTTACACACACACAGACTGATTGAGAATGATATCATTCAGTATTATTGACTAATACAAAAATGTATGTGAAAGTAGGAAATTTATGTTTTCATATAATTTGGTTGTTTTTCATTAACTTGTATTCAGTTTCATTTCAATCAGACATTTCATTTTGAAATCAAGCTTTCTAAATGTCCATGCATTATGCCGATACTGTCTGTGAAGTTGATCATTGACGTGTACCTTACCAGTAAGTTCTATTGATAATTCCAGGGGACATGCATGAGTGAATGAATAAAACAAAGATTTTAATTTTGGTGAAATTTCATTGTCAAATCAATTTACTAGTAAGTGATAACAATTCAAAACAAGCCTGTTTTGGTTGAACCTGAAGCTTTGGAAATTCATTGTCTTTTTAACCTTCAAGTTTATTTAGGTTAATTTCGTACACTGACCTTATTTAAATTTCTGCCCAATGATTGATTAATGTGGAGTTTCATTCTATTCATATGCTGGTGCTAGTCGCAGTGTTTGCCATGAGAAATATGGAGGTCATCGATAATTGAAACATTTATTGCGAGTGGAAAACGATTTGTTTCATCTTTCATTTTGGGGAGAGTGGGTTAGAAGAAGAGATTGTTTGCTGTGTGCATGGCTTACATAAGCCTATGCGGTAACTGTTATCAAGATAAAACTTGGCATCCAGTGTGTCATTGCCAGGCAATATTCATTAAATCTTAAACTGGAGGTTGATGCTTATATATATATATTTATAAATAAAACATTTGTTGCTAAATGCGTGAAGAAAGCAAACATCACTATGATTTGGGAATTGGTTTTACTTTGTGCTGTATGGCTCTGGACTCTGAAGGCAAACACATTTGAAATAATTTGTAGCGAATACACCAAAAATTATTATACGGATATGTGACTAATTTGCATACCGGTAGTTATTTTATGGTTCATTAATCTTGTTAGTGTATATGTGTATTATTGGACAGTTTTATATTAAAAATATGCACAACCATATATTTAACAATATAAATGTCAACATGCACCATGGCAATTCAGTTATGCAATAAATATCAACTTTAGTCGGGACTACTTTATCTAATTTGCATACATCAAATGAGCAATTCGCAGTAAATATATAACTATTGTCAGGACTGAAGTTTAGCATCGGAAAAGATTTGAAAATTTCACTTGCTAAGATATGAAACCATATTGTGGTGTACATTTTGTGAACTTTTATTACCCCACTTCTGTAATATTCGAAAGTATTTTTTAGAGAATGTATAGAAACGACAATAGACCAAATTACCGCAACCCAAACAATTTTATTATTACTCCTTTACAGACTCTAAACATGAATAAATAAATGGAAACACAAGGTATAAAATAGTTATTTCATCACACATTAAAATATATATGAAAGAAGTAATGCAGATAACTTCGATTATTTTTGACAAAGTTTAATTTTTTTTATATTTCATCATGTTATCTTAAAATACTGCAATATTTGCAGTCCAATATCATTTTTATTATTCAGTAATTTATATTCTTGCAATCAAAATTCAATATCAAACACAATGTTTTTAAAAAGAAATCAAAGTTATCCATATTGCTTCCTCAAAACCTCTTGATCAAAGCCTCTCCTGTCTTGAAGTAAATGCTTACATCCAATCATATTCAGTATCTCATCGGCAATTGAAATTGAAATACATGATTACATCCAATCAGACTTGAATGCATGAGGCTCTAATTCATCCTTAATTGGAACAGGCATTATGCACGTGTCAGCAAATAATAACAATATGCTGGTTGGTCCAACCAATATAGCTTGGTGCTTCAGCAAGATGACCTGACTATCCAGTTTAGCTCATCACTGACCTGCCATGTGATCAGTGCATGCTAGTTGTACATACTAAGATAACCAAGCTACTTTTCTGTGTCCTGCCACAAACTCGACTACAGATTACATCTACTCATATTCTGTCTTTTTTGAAAGCACAATGTATTTTTAGTTTCCACGATTATGATATATATAGCACCGAATAACCATGAAAATAAAAGAACTATTACGATTAAAATACTAGTAAAACAATAAAACACTGAACAATGGATTTTAAACTGATCTGAATATATATGTGTGGCCCTTCATCCATATTTAATTAAAACTATCTTGGTTGCTATGACAACTCAGACAATTTCATGAGCATAATGAATTAGTGTTATGACTCAGACAATTAGTGTTATGACTGTCAATGTGTTAACATATCACTGGCCACTTGTTCCATGTCTTAACACATGGAGATATTTGTGTTATGATTGTCAATGTGTTAACATATCACTGGCCACATGTTCCATGTCTTAACACATGGGGAATATTAGTGTTATGATTGTCAATGTGTTAACATATCACTGGCCACATGTTCCATGTCTGAACACATGGGAATATTAGTGTTATGATTGTCAATGTGTTAACATATCACTGGCCACATGTTCCATGTCTGAACACATGGGAATATTAGTGTTATGATTGTCAATGTGTTAACATATCACTGGCCACATGTTCCATATCTGAACACATGGGGAATATTAGTGTTATGATTGTCAATGTGTTAACATATCACTGGCCACATGTTCCATATCTGAACACATGGGGAATATTAGTGTTATGATTGTCAATGTGTTAACATATCACTGGCCACATGTTCCATATCTGAACACATGGGGAATATTAGTGTTATGATTGTCAATGTGTTAACATATCACTGGCCACATGTTCCATATCTGAACACATGGGGAATATTAGTGTTATGATTGTCAATGTGTTAACATATCACTGGCCACATGTTCCATATCTGAACACATGGGGAATATTAGTGTTATGATTGTCAATGTGTTAACATATCACTGGCCACATGTTCCATATCTGAACACATGGGGATATTAGTGTTATGATTGTCAATGTGTTAACATATTACTGGCCACATGTTCCATGTCTGAACACATGGGGAATATTAGTGTTATGATTGTCAATGTGTTAACATATCACTGGCCACATGTTCTTTGTCCAAACAAAGATTTTTTAAACACAAATAAATCGTGAAATTTACATCAAAATATATTTGCTAATATTTCATTTAATAATATAACCCTCACCATAAAAATAAATCTAATTGTAGAATTATTATTGGTTTTCATATGTCATTAACATATTCTGAAATTCCTAATAAACATTAGTTATTTATTTAAAATTTTAAAAATATTTCAGATTATAAGTGTTTTAAATTTTCCCACATATCCCTTGTAATAAAATCAGTATTTTCACGATATAAAGATATGTAATTAATGAAAAACTGCTTATATATACTATATTCATTACAGATTTCCATCTCATAATACCCAGGGGTATATCACATGTCTATTTATTTCCCATGTGATACTACTATTATATTAATGATATTCTATATAATTATCAAAATTGTACATGTAACAATTCCTTCCATTTAATTCTTAGTATAATGGATATGAAAACCATGACAATATTTTTGTAATGAAAAAGAGAACTTGAAAAACAGAGATAAAATTTCAAAGGAAATGAGATTAAGCATTATTAAAACACTGTCAAGCAGCTTGTGTTTCATAGGATAAAAATTGAGAAGATAATCATCTATAATTACTTAAATGATTAAAAAATGATTTTTTGGAATATTAAGTTTATGCATTTATAAATGAATATGAAACATAGGGTAAAGTTTAGTATTATATATAATCTAGTAGGTATAACCAATGTGAAAAAATGGTAACCAATGATTAGTATTGGTAACCAATGATTAGTATTTGTAAACAATGATTAGTGTTGGTAACCAATGATTAGTATTGGTAAACAATGATTAGTATTGGTAACCAATGATTAGTATTGGTAACCAATGATTAGTATTGGTAAACAATGATTAGTATTGGTAAACAATGATTAGTATTGGTAAACAATGATTAGTGTTGGTAACCAATGATTAGTGTTGGTAACCAATGATTAGTGTTGGTAACCAATGATTAGTGTTGGTAAACAATGATTAGTGTTGGTAAACAATGATTAGTGTTGGTAAACAATGATTAGTATTTGTAACCAATGATTAGTATTGGTAACCAATGATTAGTATTGGTAAACAATGATTAGTATTGGTAAACAATGGTGGCAGTGGTGGGATAACAAAAATGTCACGTCAGTAGTTATCACAAAGATATCAACTGACGAATTAAAAAGACGTTGGCAAATTATTCAATTGATTCAAATGGAAGCATTTCACATCATATAAACATACTAAATTGGGGTGTACATGGAATTTGAGATCAATGGTAAAATATTAAATATAAATTTTTGTTAAATTTCTTTATCAAGGCATTATCAATGTAAAGTCATTGATGGAATTGGTACTGGTCTAGTGCTACTTTCCATCATCAATGTAAAGTCATTGACAGGATTGGTACTGGTCTAGTGCTACTTTCCATCATCAATGTAAAGTCATTGATGTAATTGGTACTGGTCTAGTGCTACTTTCCATCATCAATGTAAAGTCATTGACAGGATTGATATTGGTTTAGCGCTAGTTTCCATCATCAATGTAAAATCATTGACAGGGTTGGTACTGGTCTAGTGCTACTTTCCATCATCAATGTAAAGTCATTGATGGAATTGGTACTGGTCTAGTGCTACTTTCCATCATCAATGTAAAGTCATTGATGGAATTGGTATTGGTTTAGTGCTACTTACCATCATCAATGTAAAGTCATTGATGGAATTGGTACTGGTCTAGTGTTATATTTTATCAATACAAAGTCATTGAAAATATTGCGACCAATTTAGCACAGCATTTCACTTAAAAGGCATTATCAATGCAGTCATTGATGAGATTGGTACCAATCTAGTTTGACATTAAACTAGGTGCTATCAAGGTGAAGTCATTGAAAATATTGCTACCAATCTAGTACTACATGTCACTTACAAGGTGTTATTAATGCAGTCATTGATGAGATTGGTACTAATCTAGTTGTTTAACTAGGTATTATCAAGGTGAAGTCATTGAAAAAATTGCTATCAATGTGAAGTAATTGAAAAAATTGCTACCAATCTAGTGCTACATGTCACTTACAAGGTATCAGTAATGTGAAATCATTGATGAGATTATTATCAAGCTAGCACCACATTTCACAAGGCATCCTTGATCTAGTGTTATATTTAGTTAGGTGATATCAAGGTGCAGTCATTGATGAGATTGGTACCGATCTAGTGTTACATTTCACTAGCTACTATCAAGTTGAATTCATTGATGAGAATGGTACCGATCTAGTGTTATATTTCACCAGGTGCTATCAAGGTGCAGTCATTGATGAGATTTGTACCGATCTAGTGTTAAATTTCACTAGCTACTATCAAGTTGAATTCATTGATGAGAATGGTACCGATCTAGTGTTATATTTCACTAGGTGCTATCAAGGCGAAGTCATTGATCAGATTGGTACCAATCTAGTGTTAAATTTCACTAGGTACTAACAAGGTGAAATCATTGTTGAGATTGATACCAATCTAATGTAGCATTTCACTAGTGAAGTGAAGTCATTGAAAATATTTCTTTCAATCTAGTGCTACATCTCACTAGGTGTCATCAATATGACTGCTACCAACCTAGTGTCAGGAAGCCATATGTACAATCTATTGATAGTGTCACCAAGTGCAAATGTGAAGTTTCTTTTCATGTGACCCATTCAAGATAAAAACAAAGTTTGAAATAAATACATATTTTCAACTAAAATTACTCCTCCACCACGTAAATGAAATCCATACAATACATTACAATTAAAAGTATCTTTGTTATTAGATTTGCATTTGATACTTTAAGCCTGGGCTGCTGCTGTCTCAGTGAATTCTATTTCTTCTCCACTTGGATGGTCTACAGTATACTTCAAAACAAGGTCTTGGCTGCTACAGCTTGCCACTTCCAATAACCACACTATGTTATTATTTTTGTCCATTCTCACAGGCTTGTTGGTTTTATCATTCTTATCTTTGATGGAGGGCTCTAGTAGGTGTACCTTTAAAAAGAAATGCAATTATTATCACAAACTTTTAAAAATATTGTTATGATTAAATTTAAGAGTCATAGGAAGCTTTGACTTAGCTTATGTGCAAATATCTGTTGAGACAAACACTGGCTAAATGATAAATGTTAAGTCAATAAACACATCTTCCTCCCACATAAATGAAAAATATTGGGTGTTAAGTCATTGGAACACCCCCACCTCCCACCTAAGTGATTTAAGTCATTTGGACATGCCTGCTTTCCACATAAATTCCTCCTGTTGTCAATATCTACAGTAATATTCATTAATTTCCTCTGAATAACATTGATGCACAATAACCTCAGAACAGAGTCAGTAATACATTCATCACACAAATTTCAACCAAAGCAAAAAATGTGATAATTTGTTCAAGTTAGGTAATTAACATGCAGACATCATCTTATCAGATCTGTGTCTGAACCCAAAGGCATCAACGTATTAAAGTTTTATTGAAAGTCAAAAAGTGGTTCTTGAGATATTTGGGGAAAATTCTTATATACACAAGATAGACAGGATCAAATCAAAGGCTCCCTCTCCATGCCTCATTGAACACAAATTATGGGCAGCATACTGCATTATGTTGAATTTATTTTGATAAATTGAAATCATTTAATTATATTCCATTAGTAAAGGTTGGTGTGGATGCACAATGTTTGCTGCACATTGAAACAAACTCTTACTTTAATTTTCTCTTCTGAGCTGAGAGGGAGTTGTTCATGTACGGTGATCTTGATAGCATCTTGTCTTGTGTTCTTCACTTCAATAACTTGTCGATATGTAGTTGTGGTGGTTTTCGATATTATTCCCCCAGTCTCTCTATATTTGTGGATAGGTCTGTATGCCACACGAACAGAAGGATCCACACCCAGGGAACAAGTAAACTCCTCTGATGGAGACACTGATTTCATGGAAGTCTAGGGATATGAAAACAAACATTCAACTTCTGTTGATTTGTAGCAATATACAATATACACACATCTTAATTATTTCAACTTATGTTCATTTGTAACTCCTTTGTACCACAACAGCAGTCTTAAATTGGTAAATTTCATAGTTATATGTTGTAACCTGCTTATGGCACATAGTGTACAAGCCATGATAAAATAAGTGGCCATGTGATGGTTACAGCACATTAATCTACTCATGTCTG